CGGGATTTGCTTCTTGCCTCCCTTCAGTGCCAGCTGCTCAGCCTCATCCAGACGGTGCTGCAGGTCCTTCACCGTCTGGTCCAGGTTCTTCTTCATCCTCTCCAGGTGGGCGCTGGTGTCCTGCTCCTTCTTCAGCTCTTCTGCCATCATGGCCGCCTGATGGGAGCAAAGGGTCAAAGCCATTTTGGGGCTGGAGACATTCTGGGGAGAAGGCGTGTATCTTAAGCAGTGAAAGGAGCCTCCCACTCACATCTGTGATGGCCTTCTTGGCCTTCTCTTCAGCATTGCGGGCTTCCTGGATAGTATCCTCCATTTCACTCTGAATTTGGGAAATATCTGATTCCAGCTTCTTCTTGGTGTTGATCAAGCTGGTGTTCTGTTGAAGAGCCATCAACATCACAATTTTGGTTTTGTTGGATTGCAATACCATAACAAGGACATTGCATAAATGTTGTTTTTTTAATATAAATCTTGCCATCAGGTCAGATGGGATTCTGTTCTCCAGGAGATGCTGTGGTAGCTGTTAGTTTCTCAGCTGTGATGTGCTTTAGTGTTTCAAGAACATACTCCATAAAGTCTTTCCTCATAGTTTCTCAGTTAACAAAGAAGGAATTTAAACTTATAAATAAAAAAGTCATAGTCTTTCCTTACCATTTTTGATCTAGTGGCAGTAAGAATTTTAAAAGTTGCTATAGAATACTTATCGTGATTTTGTTAAGTTATGTTAATGACAGTATCAGGGTATTCCTATTTTTTTTATGATCAACCCAATTTTGACTTTACAGTCTCAAATGTAAATGTGAAAGCTGTTGAACTCACTTAAGTCACAGAGTGAGAACCTCATGTATCTCACTGAATTTATTACTTTTAAGGTAACTGCACTGTAGTCTAGTGAAATTCATATTGTATCTGAAAAGTCACTTTTAGTATTTGTTATCCATTTTACAAAATACTATTACAGTTCAGCCAGTCTTCCATTATTTCATACATATGGAGCAAATGTAACGATATTAAATATATTTATACACTGACCTGTGTATGGAGGAGCTGCACACGCTCACTTGCATCCAGAAGCTCCTGCTCAGCCACTTTCCTCGACCGCTCCGTCTGCTCCAGGGCTACCCGTAGTTCCTCAACTTCAGCCTGCAGCAGGTTAGC